CACATGAGAGACTTTTATCCAGCATTCTCCCAGCGTATCAAACAAACTCAACTTTCACCTCTATCTTAGGAAAGTAAGTGCATCCTAGACTAATTTATTCCCCTTGCAATTCGAAAGTAAGTATATCCTAGACTAATTTATTCCCCTTGCAATTCACTAATTTCTCATTTCAAACCCTTACAGGCCAACCAAGAAGCACAGAGCCATTCTTGGAAGCGAGGGAAAGCTCCACAACACCCCAGCGGGAAAAGGCAGGAGCCGAGGCACCGCTTTCCGTGCTGTGGAGGCTGAGAGGATTTTTATTTCTGTATTCTTTTAGTTCAGGTCAAGCCCAGCACGGGAACAGCCGCGGCTGACGGCACAGGCAACACCAGCGCCGCTCGGCAGAGCGTGCAGAGCACGCGTTGTCGCCGGAACCCGGACAGACACGAGATATAAGAAGCACACGCTGTATACAAAATATATACGATATAAGACAGATGTATAAGGTACAGAGCCGGCCTGGCCGCTCTCCCGCCACCACCCCGCCAAGGAAAGCGCCGTCCGGTTCCGGGCGCCCTGGGCGCGCTCCCGCAGCCGCGCAGGGGCGCGGGCCCGCCTCACCGAAGATGCCCTGCACGATGCTCAGGGGGCTGTTCAGCCAGTCACCCACGCACGGCATGGCGGGGCTGTCGGCACCCTGCGGCCGCCGAGTCCCGCTCCTCAGCCCAGCGCGGGGACCGCCGCCGCCGCTTCCTCCTCCTCCTCCTCCTCCTCCTCTTCCTGCGGGAATGGCGGCCGGTCCCGCCTCCCGCCCCTCACGGCTGCGCGCGGCCGCCGCCGCCATCTTGGGTGAGGGCGGAAGGGGCCGGGGCAGGGACGTGGCCGGGGCGCGGCGATGGCGGCGGGGAAGCCCGGGGGAGGCACCGGCACCAACCTGCTCTTCTCCTCCTCCGCCACCGAGTTCAGCTTCAACGTGCCCTTCATCCCCGTCAGCCAAGCACCGGCCGCGCCGCCCGGCACCGCGCTGCTGCCCGCCGGTACGGAGAGAGGGAGACGGGGAGGGAGGGCAGCCGGGAGTGCCGGGGATGTGCGGGGTCCCGCCCGTCCTGGTACCACCGGGAAGGAGCGGTGGGGCCGGGGGAGCCCCCAGAGCCGAGCCGGGGCTTCAAGGGGGGCTGTGGGCCTTGGGAGGGCCGGTACGTGTGGGCTCGACCCGGCTCTAGGGCTCCCCGAGCCCGGTGTCCCTGACGGTGCCTCAGGAGAGCCACTGCTCGGGATTACATTCTCCGCTTTCCGGCACTTCATTTCTTCTACTTCCCCCTGCTTAATGCTTCTGAGTGTGGTTTTTAGCGCTGTGTCTAAGGAAGGGCGCTGCTCATCGCGCTTCCAGCTCACCGACGCGTCAGTGCTTCCATTCAGTGTGTATTTAATGTTTTCGCATTTTTAAGCCCTTCTCTCGTGTTATCTTCTGTTTTCCCGGTTTGAAAATAGCATCTTAAGCAGCCACCTTAAATATCCTTGCCAATTTAATCCTGGTTCTAATACCTTTTCTCCTAAAGCTTTAATGGTGTTCCCAACTCATGCGTGTGCGACTTAAAATCTGATGCTCAGGCAGTTTCAGATAAAGGAATGGATTTTTCTGGGAATGTATTCAGCCAGAGATTAAAGCTCAAAACATTAGAAATGCATCTAGAGATTAGATATTTCGAGTTTTACTGTATTGTACATATTGGAATTGGACTAATGACCTTTGAAGGTCCCTTTTAGCCCAAACTGTTCTATGCTGAGTCTTCAAGACTTCATTTCAAATTGTATCTTAGCTAAAATAGGTATTGATATAGGTAGAAATCAGTGCAGTACTTCTCTATAGATTTAAAAAAATGTTTGCCAAGTGTGGCTTTGGAATAGTTTTTTAGATTAACTAATTTTTTTTAATAGGAGAGATAAAAGCATTAAAATATTACTTGCAGTATCTAGGTAGTTGATACACGTACTAATTCAACTGTGCAATCCTCATAGTTTTTCTTTCATGCAAATATACGTTAATTTTTCATTAAGAAAATAAGACAATTTTTAAGTGCTGATCTGGGTGATAGCTTTACACAAATGACTGTCCTGGCAATTTCCTGAACATTTTGAAGCCAGCTGAGGATAAAATCTGATGGGATTTGATTAATGTGGTGAATCTTATGCTCTCCACGTGACTTAAAATTTGATCGGGTGAGGATTCATGGTTTTGCAGCTGGAGTGAATTTCAGTGTCAGAGGTTGTGCCCCTTTCTGTGTCAGTCCAAGTAAGGCCCATGTTTTGTTAAATGTTCTGTTTCCACAGTCAAGTGTACTCACCATCTGTCCAGCCAGGTGTTGTTGGGATCTTCTTCCTGAGTGGAATATTTTGTATTTAGAATCATAATTTTAAATTGTATGAAATGTAATAAGAATCAATCCAGGGATTTGTTTGACGCCTGACAGCCAACATTAGGGAGCTGTGTGCAGTCATTCATTTGTTTATGAGAGTGAGTAGTTAGTGATTTCAGCTCTGCAGTTTGACAAGAAGATGCATTCTCTGGCTCAGGTGTGGGTGATGTAACCAATATATTTACTGTAGGATAAGTAGGAGTGTTCCCAGTGAGGACGTGGCCTGATGGCACTTGTGGTTTTCTGGTGACAGTCTGTGTGTAAGGAGGGATGTACAGGATGTACAGTCACAGGTGAAGAAAGACTGTTCTGTGCATGGGGAGAGCACACGTCAGAGCTGTACACTCCTTTTTTTTACATTTGTATGACCTGCTTGTTTTTACAACACAGTTTTTGCAAAACTAGAAAAAGTCAAGACGAACAGTAATGTTTTGTGTTGGAAAACTACATACCTATAGTGGGTTTTTTGGCAGAACTTTTGTCAACCTCATTTTGCAAGGAAAGGTGCACTTAGGCTAAATCTCCAAAACCTATTTGAAACTGGAGAACAGTAGATGTTTTGTGAACATTCGTTTGCTAAAGGCCCTGAGAACTCTGGAGCACACTGCTGCATGTGTATGGTGGCCTGACATGGTGAGGTGAAGGGCCTGCTCTGCTGCCAATTATTTGGGAAAGCTGAGAGTTGACAGTGAGGTTTGCAGTGTGCTTCTCTCTGCCCCACACTGTTTATGAAATGTGAAAGGAAGGTGGATTTTATTATTTAGAAGCTGAGACCTTTTATTTACTATAAATGGCTACTGCTTGCAGCTGGGAGATGATCCCCGTGCCCGACTTCAGAGTGGTCATTGGGCCTAAGTGGTTTCAGCATTCTCCACACAGTGGCTCACACACAGAGATTTTGACTTTGTTCCTCAAAGATCCCTCAAAGTGGGATCAAGTGCTGGAGGTGAAAGCAAGAGGAGTTGATAACGCAGGTGATGCCTCAAATTGACACCGTCTGCACAGACTAAATAAAAGATGATTAAAATAGTTCTTTTTAATCTTGGCAGCTGTGTCTTATGGTTAATTAATTAGAACAGCAGCTTCCTTAGGGAGACTTCTCCATGGATTCCCCTGTACTCCCTTGATGTTCCCTATTACAGTTGTGTTGGCTGTGGATAAAGGCATTTGTAGTTGGCTGCTCTTGGTGTCTCTGCCTGGGGACTGAGCAGCAGAGATGCCCTGTGGTGTCATTTGATTGCCAGGCAGGTGAAACACTGCTGGTTTCTGCAGGTGTCACTGACTCCTTGCAAGATGCTGTCCCTTCAGGAGGCAGTGGTGCTCAGGCCATCACAGCCTTGGGTGAGCTTACTGTGAGACCTCAAATCATGACAAACCTCCTTTGTTCCCGCTTGGTCCTAGATCATTGCAAAGTAGAAAACTGTGATCGATCAGGACCTCTTTTATTTATTTTCTCCATGCAAAAGGGTATTCATGGCCTTGCATCTTTTTAAATCCTCTCCTGCAATTTTGCAGAATGGGGACTGATTTTTCTGCATCAGAGATGTGGCTTTTATGCAAGTCTAGAGTAGGTTTTTTAGGGAGAACTGGAGTAAGTCCTGCTCATTAAGTGGCTTGGGATCATGAGTTATGGCCACCTTGCAAGTCAGATGAGAAACCTTGAGAGGGCTCTGCTGAAGGAGCAGGCAAGAATGGATGGTTTAACCTGTAAATTTGGCCTCTTTAGGAATGTTTTTAAGATCTATTCTAAAAACTGGAGTGTAAAGTCCTATGCCTAGTAGCTGTTTTCATGGTGAAAGGATATGAACCAAGACTGTCCTGACATTTGAGGGGTAAGTAAAGTTGGGAGGGATTTTAGTCCCTGCCAAATTGCCCTGGGAAGATCCCGACTCCAGTTATATTTTGGTTTCTTATTTAATATTTGTTGCTTTTTCTGTGTACACTGAGTGACTTTCATGGTCCATTTTAAATGTTCTTGAAGGGTTGGTATCTTTTGTTTTATTTTATGATGTGCTGAATCAAGGATGTGTAAGCTTTATGGGGGCCAACAGTTTTGGCCATAGCTGGTGGTGTTACAGAATATTTTGACCCCATACAGTGATTTGAAGCTCTCACAAGATCTCTGGTGATCCTCTTGTTTTTACAGATGATTCTGCAGACGTTGGGGAAGAGGACAGCTTCTTGGGTCAGACATCAGCCAGCCCCAACCCACCACAGACTTTCAGCTACTTCTCTCAAGTTCCCAGCAGCAGTGATCCCTTTGGGAGTATTGGGCAGCCACCTTTAACAACTGTTTCAACACCTGTGGGAGCACCAGCCTTCTCCAGACCTCCCACTTCACTTCCACTCGTGTCTGGCTCCCAGGATGGGCAAAATGCCTTTTCACCACATATTCCCAAATCCCAGTCTTACAGTGCACCACCCACTTCCCAGGTGGGAATGGCACCTTACCAGTCCCCTCAGCAGAGCTGTCCCCCACCTGCCAGCACTGCCCTGCCCACGGGGACCCCGCAGCAGCAGGGCTACAACCCCTACAGGCACACCACCCTGAGCAGCAGGGCCAACCCCTACCTCACCCCACCCCAGCTGCAGCAGAGCCACCCCCCTGCCACAGCATCCCCTGTGCCACCCGTGCAGATGTACCAGACACCCCCGGGGCCACTGACACAGGTATGTGACTCCTCCTGCCTACCACAGTAAAACAAGTCACTTTCCTCTTTCATCTGTGGATTTTATCTTTTGAAGATTTTTCTTCTCTGCAAAAAAAACCCCCGAAGAAGTCTTGAACCGTTTATAGCAGCAAAAGTTTTTCAGTAGAAGTAGCTTGGAACTGTTGTTCCAGGAAAACTTCCTGATGTTTGAAGTGAGTGTACCCTGAGGCTGTAGCTCTGTGAGCCTCTGGGCATCAGAAACAAAGCCAGGTTGTGAAGCTCTGTTGCTCTTTTTTGTGGGTTTCTGAGTTTGCTGGGTTTCAGGTGTGCTGCTGCACTTTTTGTGCCTCAGCTTTAAATCAGGTCATTCAACCATTTCAAAGATATGGGCTAAAATCTCTTTTCAGGCTAGATTTGTTGGTGCAGCCAGAACTTTTTGAAATTAAGTCACATAAAATTGTTAGCAAACTTTGAAAAACATTGGTTAAGGATTTTGTGTGATATAAAGCAATAATCTTCATTATTTTCTACCTGCAAAAGGCATTATTACAGTAATGCAAATGGCACATTTGCCTTGAAAACAGCAAAAACTGTTTTTATTTTTGCCTGAGCTATTGCTATATTTCTGTTATCATGAATAAAGAATGTGAAGGTTATATAATGGCAAAACAGAGCAAGAGCAGTAGAACCTAAACAGTCTGGAGTTTTAGATTATGTAATTTCAGAACTTCTGTTCATTGGATTTTATATATTGTACAATATTTTGGTGCCCTTTTTTCCCCTTTAAATGTATCATCAACCAAGGCAGTTGCTACTGTTGACATCACTTGCTTTTAGTTGTACTGACTGGGATTTTTGTACAGTTTGTATGACATCAGCTTTATGTAGGCTGTAGACCCTTTCAAAATCAATTACTTTTCTTGTGCCATTGATGCTACATTTGAGTTTGAAATCTACCTGTTCCAGTCACTTTGCAGGAAGAGAGCTATTGCTGAAGTGGCCACTTGTTAAAATTGGGAGTCTTTATGCCAAAGCATAATTATGTGTAAATGAACAGTGAGAAGAATGTGTTTTTATTTTCACATCAAATTTTGTGGTTGTAAGAAACAAGTTCAGCACAAGTTTTGATAATTTAAGAGAATATTTGAAATCTCTCTGATTCTAGGTAATCATGATGCTAAACCATGGCAGTTTTTAACAGTGTTTGTGGTAATGATTCACATTCTTTCTCAGTTTGAGAAAGTGTAAGTTCTCAAACACATGATAAAGTGGACAGTATTTTTAGAATGGAAGGTAATGTTCTTGGGGAGGAAAACATGTTCGAAATAAAGGTTCAGAATATTTCCTGTAGCAGAGTATAGAAGAGTTCTGTAAAAACCCTGTGAGATTGAGGTGCTGAGCCCATCTCTGTTCAGTTTCCACAGTCCCAGCTCCAGCCTGCCAGGCCTGCAGGGCCCCTGGTCCCAGCCCCTCCTGTGCTGCTGCAGAACCAATACGAACCAGTTCAGCCCCACTGGTTCTACTGTAAGGAGGTGGAGGACAAGCAAATATGGATGCCATTCAGCATTCTGGATTCTGCAAAGCTAGAGGAGGTCTATAATTCTGGTAAGTTCTGTCTTGTCCAGAGGTGGGCAGAAGGACTAAAGGAAAATATTGGGGTAATGTCACTCACGTGTGTGACAATAAAACGTAAGGTTTTGAAGATGTATTTTGTGCCACTTAACTTATTTCACTGACATCATCAGTGCTTGATGCTGTCAGTGTTGAGATGCACCATCCCACATAGGTATCAGACAGAAAGATTTTCATATAGAACTCCTTGTTATTTGTGTCTTGGGTTGCCTTTTTGTTAAACGCCAGTTCTGGAATAGCTATTTGTATCTGGGAGTTTTCCCAAGCTTTTTGTTGTATACAGAGCATACAGAAAGCATCACAGTGTTACAAAGCTTCTCTGCCGTGGTGTGACTGTCACTGCTAAAGGCCTGATCACAGGAGTGGCTGGGGCTGGGCTGGAGGAGCAGAGCTGTGTTGGTGTGGTAACCACGTGTGGCTGTGTGTCCCAGTCCAGCCTGACCCCGAGAGCGTGGTGCTGAGCACGGACGGCGGCCGCTACGACGTGTTCCTGTACGAGCGCCTGAGGAAAGCCGTGTACTGGGACGAGGAGCCCTCGGAAGTGAGGCGCTGCCTGTGGTTCTACAAGGGAGACAAGGACAGCCGCTTCGTGCCCTACAGCGAGGACTTCAGTGACAAACTGGAGGTCAGGAAAGGCACAGAGACCTTGTTAGCTCATTGTGTTAACTTAGAAACAGTTCTTTCTGTTTCATGAAGATGATTTGCAGAGTGCACTTTATGGAATGTAAGCAAATCCTGGGAAGAGGAGTGTCTAGAAAGCCTAGACATCAGTCCTGCACTGCTGCGGCCTCGAATCTGCTTGTGTAGCTCTACACGTGACATTTTTATATAAAGCAATTTATGTAGATTTTAACTGTAGCCATGAGGCCACAAAATACTGAGAAGGTTGCCACGCTGATTTTGTGTAACTTGTTTACTGTTTCAGGCAGAATATAAAAGGGCTGTAACTACAAATCAATGGCATCGGCGACTTGAATTTCCAAATGGGGAGACAATTGTTATGCATAATCCCAAGGTAATAGATTTTGGCAATTGTGTCTTGCAGGATTTATTAAGGGGGAGTGGGCAAATGGATGGAAGCATAAATTGAATGTGGTCCTAATCTTGCATGAAACATACCAGTTGCATGTTCTGGGTGTGTGTGCATGAAGGATGAGCACTGAACTTGTGCTTACTTCAATGTGCTATCATGTGGTTGAAAGACAATGCTTTCTGAAACCTAAAGAGAATAGGGGTTTGCATAGTAAATATTTTGGCTAAGCATAATTGGCAGCAAATGGTAAGAAATTTGATTAGTTTAACCTCAAATGAAAGATAATTAAAACAAAGAGCTTTCATGTGGAGAAGAGTATTAATCTAGCTATAAGGTAAATAATTTCTTTAAGGCCTGAGAAGGTTTCTGCTTATTTTCAGGCTGTAAGAAAGTATAGCAAGACAAGCTTTAAAAGTTACTCTAAATGCTCTGTGAACAGTTCCATGTGATTAAAACATGGACTTCAGCCTTATTGATCAATGCTGTTAACTGTTCATTTATCACAGATGCAGTAATTAATACACAGAACTATCCAAGGGCCAGAAAGGATCATGGTTGCTCCTACTTAAAGTGTTTAATAATCCTGGTTTGGGAATTCTGTCCAGTAAAAATCTAGAGAAGAAGCATTTAAACCATTTGCTGTCATAAATACGAATTCAGACTATAAGTCCTATAAACAACTATATACTTCTGAATTCCTCACTTTTTAGTGTTTCTGGACTACTTCAGATGTTGTCGTCCTCCCCTGTAAAGCACTACCCTTTTTTTTCCCCATTTTCTCCTTGTGATAAAGATATTGTAAATCAAGTGGCATTCAATTTCCTCACATTAGCAGTAATCTGCTAAGGAAGATTGGATACTGGAGACTAGGAAGGAGGAGCTTGAGAAATGCTTGGCTGAGGAGTTAAAATGGTTCAGAATCACTGAGCAGGCCCAGCTTCTTCACCTAGTGGTTACTTTGAGTCATCTGTTTGCTTTTCACACTAATGAGGATTTTGTGGAAGAAAACATTTGATTTTCTCATGCAAGGTAAAGCAATCAAAAGATATGTCCAACCATGCAGTGCTTTCAGACTAACAGTATGATTCATGAGGGTTTTCTGTGGTTGGAAATACAAATACAACTGTATTTGTTTCAGGTCATAGTTCAGTTCCAGCCTTCTGCCACACCAGATGAATGGGGCACCTCTCAAGATGGGCAGGCAAGGCCAAGGGTAGTGAAACGTGGAATTGATGATGACCATGATGAGATTCCTGATGGTAGGTGCTGACATTCCTGGTACACTTGGGTCTGCACTGGGAGCTGTCAGTTTGGATCTGTGCAGAAGCTGGACAATAGTGGGTGGAATGGCTGTGTGCTCTTTGTGCCCGGAGTCTAAAGATTAAAGTTATTCCTTCATCTCAGCTGCTTGATGAGGTTATCTGGTTTTGGGGAGTTTTAATCAAAGGAGTCCTGTGGGCTCTGTAATGTCCTGAACCATGTTATGTAATAGGCTTTATAAAACAAGTGTGTATTACACTTGCTAGACTCTGAACTTCACTCCTGCAGTATATACTGCTAATGTGAATGTTTTCCTTTTTTTTTCTTTTCCTACAGGAGAAATGTCCCAAATTGACCATCTGGTATTTATGGTTCATGGCATAGGTCCTGTATGTGACTTGAGGTTTAGAAGCATTGTTGAATGTGGTAAGTTTGGTCTTGTATAATGAGCAGTTGTATTCTTGCTGTTTAAATGTGGCTCTCTCTAGCTCATATTCAGATAAACGTAGCTTTTTAATTTTTTTTAAAGAAAAGTCTCTAATGTTAAGAAGTTCAATTTTTTCATGATAATTTTCCAAAGGCAGAATCTGTGTTCTGTCTTGATGTTATTACTAGTACTAGTTGTGCAGTCTGGTACAACTGAGTAAATGAAGAAAGCCCTGTCTGGTTATGAAGTGAACAGGCAGTCATTGTGAGATAAATAGAAGCTTGCTAGAAAATCCACTCTTAACAAAAATTTGTACTTTCTTACTGTTAAAATAGTAGTACTTGAAAAGACTTCTGCCGTTTTCAGTTTCCATCATTTGTATTCTGACTGTCTGTGAAATTAAGGGGAAGGAGGGGACTATTTATGTGTTACTTGAGTACTGCAGCTATCAGATTTTCATTCTTCTTTCTCTTCACAGTTGATGATTTTAGGACTGTTTCTCTGAAGTTGTTGCAGACTCACTTTAAGAAGTATTTGGAGGAACGCAAAGTGAGTAGGGTGGAATTCCTTCCAGTTCATTGGCACAGTTCTCTGCATGGAGATGCAACAGGTGTAGA